CCCCAAAACCCCAAAACCCCAAAACCCCGTCAACAATAAATAGAATTCTAAATGAATATTAAGAAAAACATAAATAGAAATAATATAAAATAACTTCACATGAATAGATATGTGAGAGTTCATATTCACTCACATGCCTCTTCTTTGATTTCAGATTGAGCATCTTACAGATTTTTTTGCACTTGCTAAATAATTTCATCCCTTCTAATTTCAAGTTGGTTTCCACTTTATCTGACTTGAGAACCTTCTCTTCTTCTTCTCTTGAGTTCTTCAATTATGCCCAAATCAATCTTTTTACTGATATGATTCTCAGTCATGATATTTTCTTGAATCACTTGAGCTTTATCAAGGATCATTTAGAACATATGACTGCACTGTTGCTGAGCAAGACCCTTGATTCTTCCTGGACTCATTTCATATTGCTTTTCCTCCTATTATTCTTATTATGATTGAATGGGGTCAACTTTAACAGGTGACACACATTGGTTGTTATTTTCGATTATTCTAAGAGTATCCTTTCTTGAGGGAGACTAGAACTTCTTGTCAAAGGATTCGAATTCAGGTTTATCTTTTGCAGCAATTGGTGTGTGCTTTTGACTTTGGACTACAACAAAGTTTGGGAGTTTTCTTTCAAATCTCATAGGAGATTTCGATGATAGTCTTTAAGATACTTGGACTTGAGTAATTTACTACTTTTTCTAAGGCTTACCAGAGTTATTGTTAGGAGTCATGGTTCCTCTTCCAGAAAAGACTACTTGATTACTACCACTCTTCATGTACTCTTGCTGAGCAGCATTTGAACCTTGGATTTGACTTTGGTTACTTGAATAAGTGGCTGGTTGCTTCTTGGTGTTTGAATCTCTCATTGAAGTCTTTTCTTGTGATTATCTAGCAGTCTTAGATGACTAGATGCCGTTTAAGGTACCTTGCAATGAACCAGAAATTTTTACTGGAGTCTTATGAACCTGAGAGCTAACAAAGTTATGCCTCTTCTCTTAGATCTCACTAATTTGATTGACTTTCGTGTTAAACATCAATCTGGTGCTTGGTTGATTGATTGGGGATTTGTTTGAGTTTCTGTTTGGCATTGGTGAAACATCTGCTTTTTCATTGTTATTCTACTTGCTAGCACTTGGATTAAACAACTTAGAATGATTTCTTTGAGATTGAGAAACATTTTGGTTGAACATGACACTGCTGTGAATGCTTGCATTGATAGATTTGGAAGGTGATTCATTGTTGCCAATAGTGTTCATTGAGTAAATTGAGCCACTAACTATGCTTTAATCTAGAAGTGCTTTGGTGGCTTGTCTCTATAGCTTGGCTTGCTTATGCAAGACATAGTGAACCACGTTATAAACGAACACAGTCAGCATTTTGCAGTTCTTATCTGATGAAGATTGAATAAGTGACTGTTGATATTGAGCTTCATCCTGGAAATATTACTCTTTGATTTCAATGAATGGCTCATAGCTGTAGCTGAAGTCAATGAGTCTGGATTTGATTGAAAGAACCTCTTGAGTGAACTTGTTGACGTTTTAGTTTATCAAGTATTGAACGTTTTGCCAGTTACTGAAATCCTCACTTAGAGGTCTGTCTCTAAGAGCATTCACTAGTTAACAGAACATTTTTAATGTTTGCTATGCTTGCTTTGAAGGTTTCTTAATTCTACCAATTTCTACGAAAACACCTAGATTTATCTCCTTAAAAGAGGCATTTAACTTCTACTTCTTACTTTGTTGCTTTCTTATGGCTTGTTGAATGACTTTGGTGGCTTAACTTCTGTTATCCTGAGTCTGGAACTAGGTTTGATAGGTGTTATTTGACTTGCAAGTAAAAATTCCATCTCCTTGCATTTCATCTTATTCTTTTTCCTCGCCTTTAACTTAGTTAAGGTTAATGTTGAATTTCTAGGCAGACTGCTCGTTGTTTAATCTTGAAAGAGTACTGCCAACTACAGATCTAGCATTGTTGGAGGTGGATCTGTCTCTGTTGTTATTTGACTTTGATCTGTGCTGTGACTTTGAAGATTAATATGCATTTGACAATTTGTTTAAATATGATTACTGATTCTAAGCTCTAGTATCTTTTTATTGATCAAGAATTTGATTGGAAGCAGCAGCTGAGGTGGGGAGGAATTTATTCTGTGAACTTTGAGTTGGCTTGCAGTAGTTGCTTCTATTGTATATCTAAGGAGCTCTTTACTGATCTCTGTTGGTTAGTTCTCTTACCATGTCAGCTAAGTTCTCACTTTAGGTGAGGTTCTGATTTGAATTGTTTTCCAAGATGTCTGTTTCTTAGAAGTGACTGCGATCTTAGCTGCAGCTAATTTCACTTTATATAATTGAACCTTCTTTCACAGGTTGCATCTGGAACTTAAAGAGATTTTGAGTTGGAGATTCCTCATTATTGACAAGCTACTCTCTAATGTGATCGTAAAGGTGTTCATTTGATTCTACAGTAGGAGTCTATGGAATAGGTTGGGCTTGTGGCTATTGTTGTACAGTGAGCTATTCTTGCTCTGGACTATCCTCAATTCTGAGGCTTGATTCATGGGTCGATTTAATTTACTACAGAGGTAGTTTTAAATGGCCTGGGCTTTCTTGTTATTAGCTCTTGATATCAGATGATCTTTCATCTAAGCTTATGATGTTAGAGTTTTCTGTGAAAGGTTATCTCTATGGTGACTTCATTGTAGTGACTGCATGATTTCTGAGTTGGTAGATTGAGCTGTTTGAAGGTGAGGATTGTTTAGACAGGACAATCCACTTTTTACTCTCCTTAATGGGTGAATCTTACCCGTAAACTTGTAAGGTTTTCTCAGTATCATTACGATTTAACCCTCCTAATGTACTAGAAGAGGCATTTGGATTAGAGTTCATTCCTTAAGTTTATTGTTGAGAATTTCTAATTTTCACTCCTGGATTCATGTTTTCAGAATCAATCTGATTTTAGAGTGCAATGTTGATGAATCTGTCGATTGAACTGATCTTGTTCTCACTTGCCTTCATTTGCAATTGAATAAGATCGTAAACATCTGCATTTCTGATAAGGTTTTAGATCTTTTTGTCTCTAAGATTGGGACTCTGACTGTTCTCCTTGAATTAGCTCATTCTCGCCTGCTGCTTTTACAAATTTTATTTTAAGATTTAAAATTAATACGTTTGCCACATTAATAAATTTTATTCGTTTGCTTCGTATCTGAAAAATGATATTATGGGGTTTTGGGGTTTTGGGGTTTTGGGG